GACGCAGCCCCTGCAGCAGCAGGAGCACAACAACCATTGCTTGTACAACCTCCTCTAATCACAAACCCTCTTTCCCCTCCTAATTCTCCCACAGGTTTTGTGTCACTGGATGGAGTTGTTACACGTAGCGGTCGAGTCGTACATACACCTGCCCGGTATGTGTTATGTGTGGGACACAACCCGGACAACATCCAGCCTCCCGCCGCGCCGGGAGGGGAGGGGGAGTATTGTAGTGGACGTCTCCCCTACAAACTGCGTAGCACCGCCACCACCTGCTATCACATTCCAACGTGCCATTGCCTAGCAACCAAGAGAGAGCTGTCCCCAGATGTTACCGTATCTTAGCAACGAAACTATTCAGAAACTATTCACCGGCGACTTCTCGGGTTTTCCCAACATGACTCATAGCGGCTGCTGGGTATATAAGCTCTGTCTCTCCATTGAGATTCATTCTGCCCATTTTCCTGAACAAGCAACACCTCCTCCAGCAAGCTCCTAGCTGTTAACATTTATTCAACCAGGAGGCCAGCAACAGGCAACATCTCCTCTAACGAAGCTCCTGCACATCTACCTCCTTCAACACGCTACTCACCGAACGTCTTCTACTGAGCAGCTCCCCACCACACGGCATCTCCAGCACCAGACTGTCTTCATATAACTTATATATCATACAAGAAAACCACATTTGAGTTTCCTTCCATCCTGAGTGCTAGACAACATTAATATCTCGATACCCCTACAATATAGAATGATATCCGAAGCCGAGTAAGTAAAAATTAGCACGTGAAGCACATTGATAACGTAGATATCTTAAAGTGAAAAATAAAAAGTTAAAAATAATGTTGCGCTTGTTGCTATTTCGCCACCCAAGCGCATATTCACCCAGCGTGACTCGCAGTGGACCAAGTGGTCCGAAAACTAAGTTTGTCACCTTATTCTCCCAGACCATTTTGACATTTGTTCTCTATTAATGTTTCTTCGTTATGGTGGGACATGTGATACGCCTCATTAACTAGCAAGTTTGCGCAAGCTAAACTGAATGTGTGGAGGGACACTGTTGATTGTGCAAACCGTTTGCTTTGTGCAAAATCAAGCGCTGCCCAAAAATATTTTTGCACAAACGTTTCCGTAAATAACTGAGCGTGTGTAGGGCTGTAGGCTAGTTCGGACCAGCAGTTGCTCAATTTTCAGTAGTAGCAGCCCCAGAAAGGATTTTGTAGGAAATTTCTCCCGCAGTTGGATAATTTGATTTGTGAGTGAAATCTACTGCATGTAATGATCGCTAGGTCGGGGAGCCCTTACCTCACGCGTTGGCTGAGTGTGTTTTCCGTTTGACTATAAACACCTTCACTTAGTACGGAGGGGGTTTCTTTTTTTTTATTCATTCTGATAATCCTCCTGAGCGATTTGTTTATTATTTATATTTTATCATTTATATTTTAAAAGCTTACTAGCTGTTCAGGCGTTTGCTCTTTTCTTTGTTACTCCTTTTTTGACTTTTATTGTCTTAGTACAGGAGGAAGGCGGAGTACCCGGAGAAAACCCGCATGTTAGGAAGGCTCACACAGGATAACACACTTCTCACGTCCGTCCTGAGCTGGGGATTGAGCAATAATTAGATTCGCCGTATTGCCTGTCAACTGTTATGCTTGATGAGATTGATGATTGATAAATAGTATCTGTCACGCCTACTTGTCTGAAAATTTGGGCCTGTGGGCTAACCCCAACCAAAAATTCTTAGCTATGTTACGGAGTACCAGTAACGTCAACACCATGTGAAAATGAGTGATTTTTTTAAATAATTCCAAAATATTCATAACGGAGTTCATTGAGATCTACAGCACAATGAAATGTCGCTAAGATAATTGAAGGTAAAGAACACGGTGACATTTCATTTTTTTTATTCATTTGTCGCTTTGTCAGTAATCTCCATTGCTAAGTATCTACGATGATCATTTATACTACTTATTGTTTGTATTATCTGTATGTTTACAATGCCCAAGCATAGGGGGGGGGGGGGTTACGTCTTTCCCAAGCTGCAGGACCTGGGATACCATGGCGGTCGGCTGGGCCCCACACCTTGACGGGAATGTCGTTAGTGATATTAAAAGGTAATACTTGGGTCTTTTATGTACAAAATCCCATTTTCAAGCCACAATTAGAATTGTAAACTCATTGTGATGCCTGTAACATTTTATTAAAGTGAATGCTTTATCCTTCAGATTTATAATAATTGAAGTATCCAAACTAGTCTACGATGCAAGCATATGAACAGAGGATACAAATCGTACCATTTAGAAATGAAAATGTACACACTAAAAAAATTATTCGGCACCCATGTCATATTGTATCACGCCGTAAGGGTGCCGAATAATGTTTTAGTGGGTGTACATGACACTTGTACACACACACACACATGTATACATACACGTACACCCACTAAAACAATATTCAGCACCCTTATGGCGTGATACAATATGACACGGGTGCCGAATAATTTTTTAGTGGGTGCACAAGAAAAGAAAAGGTGTATTTCTGTGTAACTGGCTGAACTGGAGCTGGCGGACGCTCGCCCCACAAGGTGCCGGATTTACCTACAGTACTTGTGGGCCTCAGGCCAAACTCATCACAGTGAGC